GGATTAAGAATAACAGCCCAATTCTCCTTTAAAGATTCATCAATATCATCATCATTCATCGCTAAAATAATAATTAATATTAATAAATTAAGTAAAGAAAAAAGAAACTAAATTACATACCTGTGTACTTGAACGTTGTATGGCCAAAGTTTTCTCTTATAGATCCACCTTGCGACATCATTCCAACACAAGGATACAAAGCATTCTTCAAATCTCGGAATGCGATACCTTAAATATACATAGACATTAAATCAACTTAAAATAAATAAGCATTTTAAATAATAAAATAGTTACCTAGATTCACTCCGTTTCTGGTATAAAGTACCGTATTATTTCTAAAGTTCACACAGCATCCAACAGTATCACCAGTCGTAAATTTTGATCCATATGGCTTACCAGCGAAGTTAAAAAAAACATTTCCATCACCATGATAACCCCATGAGCTATCTTCCCAACCTACAATATAAATAGTAATATAAATAATTTTATTTAACGAATTGTCAGTTCATAAAAAGAAAGGATAAATTACCTGGCATTTTATTTAGGCTAGCTGATTTTGTGCAAATCCCGATTCCAATCCCCCTATGGAATTTGAAAAATTGAATTCTCAGCAAATTTTAAATAATCAACTTATATATAACAGAAAAAACTGCATTCAAAGTTTTACAACACACCCATTTTCCCCCTCATTTATAATGTCAACTTCATAATAAAATAATGCACATTGTTCAGGAATTGGATAATTTGCTCGAATTGCAGCACAGTTTTTTACTCCACCCAGACCTTATATTATATTTGAAAATAATTGTAGTTATGCAAGAATAAGTGATTCCATACAGAAACAGTAAAATTATAATTGTTATACAACATGAAATGTAATAAACTCGCCTGTATAAGTTACTATAAGCTTGTCTGAATTTATTTTTAAAAGATTACGTCCATCATTAATATTCCATGCGGTTGGTGATTCCATATTGTTATGTAAATCATATAAGCAAGAATTATAGCAGAGTTTAATTATTGAAGGATTGATTAGTATTCTTATGTGAAAGTTTTAAATACGTTGCGAGTTATTTTTTTATTTATTTTTTTTTTAAGAAAAAAAAAAACTTTAGAACATTCTCGATTCTCATTATTCATACTGTATTTCTGCATGCATGTCGATCAATTTGTGTGTGTTACATTGGTAAATCAACCTAAAATTTAACTTCATTATTCGTTATATATACATAGCTAGATACAGTACATACTAATTTTGCGTAATATAAGATTTACTATGCTAATTACTGTAAGTGTTCAGATATTTTATAAATTCTCAAAAGTCTATATTTCGTCAGTTGGTTTTATTAAAAAAAAAAATTTATCTTTTTAAAAAATTTATTGCAACGAGTTTCTACAGATTTTTCTATAACGTTTTGGCAATTGCGGTAACGAGTTAGAATCCGCATAAGCAGATTTTTTTCTTTTTTTTTATTTTATTAAAAAATAGTTTAATTCTTCTGCACTGGTTGATATAAACCAAGTAGCTTTACCAAATCCGTAGGATGTTTATTTTTTTAAACTTTATATGTAATATTTTTTCAATTACACCCATATGTAGACGATCTTTTTTTTTTTTTGATGATATCTCAAATAAATTTCAAATTAAGTTTTTTATATCGAATAACTACAATAATCTAGTAATAAATAAATACATATTATTAATTTATACATTTGTTAAATAATTAGTTATTAAAAATAACTATGGAATTAATCGAAACTTAGCTGCAATTTTTGAAATCTTGCGATGATCTAATTCTTAAAATGTTTGCCCAAATGAAACTTTATTTTCAGAACTAATTGTTGTGTATTTTTATCTGTTTTTTATAAAAAAAAATTTAATAATGTTGAATAATATAAAATTTTTATATAATATTTAATTTACCATTAACAAATGACTTACCTTTCTTGCAATAAATACTAAAATAACGAAATATTTAGAATAATACCGCTTCACTTTTTAAGTCATCATAAAATCACACGAAATTATAGTTCTGTTTTAAATAACTTTTTAGTAGCAGTTAACCTTTATGAACATTACCTTTTTAAATATTTTTTCTTAAAAGTATTGGTTCTTTTCGAGCATTTCGAAAGTGCTATATTATTTAGTTTATTGTTTCAATTTTCAAATTTTTTTTATTTAATTTTTTAATTTCACTTTGGCAGCAGTCAAATTATTTTTTTAAAAAAAAAAATAAAATAAAAATAATAATGAGCTCTGATATAATTTTAAATAAAAAATTTTTCCTTACTTCTCTTAAATACGTTCTGCATGACTTTTAACGGACTTTATATAAATCTTTAAAAACTAATTTCCTGTCCATGAAATTAATTGAGGAGAGCTTACATTAAAAAAAATTTAAAGAAATAATGAAAGACAGGTTAAACGATAAAGAACTAAATCTTTTATTTTATTATAAATAAATAAAATTATTACATGTAAAAAAATGTAGCAGCGAGTTTCAAGGGAAAATAACAATGCTAATTTTTTTTTCGCTTTATGCAATATTTCCGAAATAAATTTAATCAATACTTCCGATTCAATCTTACTTTTTATATTTATTCTACCCCGCCATATTCAAAAAATTTATGTGCATTCACTTTTGCAAAACAAAAAAATTTTTGCTTATCCTCACCTCATATCCAAGTTCTATAATTAAAAAAAATAATTAAAAAAAATAAAATAATACAGTCTTAAGAAAAAATGAATCTGTCTAATATAGTATAATTTATGAATAAAATTATTCTTAAATTTTATAAATTATTTGGCTATAGAATAGAATATTTTTGAGCTGATTTTAATGAGATTATATACAAATAATCGCAAGATTTATGTTTTATACAATAGATCCTTGGGTAATAAAAATTGCTGAATTCTCAAATAATAAATAATATGATTAAAAAAAAATTTAAAAACAAATTCGACACTACACCTCGAAATAAAAATAAAAAAAAAAAAATTTAAAAACAAATTCGACACTACACCTCGAAATAAAAATAAAAAAAAAGAAACTAAATATTAACCTAAAAAACATATATAGCATACATCCATGATTAAAAAACATTATAAAATAAATTCGTTCGCTGAGAAAAATAAACTCCTACACCAATCATCGTCTACCTGCTTTTGAAGAATATGTAAATTGGTTTTTTTATATTTTTTTCTTTGAAAATAAAATTTGTATTTAAATTGAAACTAAGAATCGAAACCTGAGAAACGATTTAATCGATTTTAAAATCGACTCTAATTTTTTGAATCGATTTGAAATTCCTACAGCGGTAAATGGATGTGAACAACGTCCTAAAGGTTGAAGAAATGTAGCGCCATTTGGTAAATTGTTTATCCACAAAAAAAATATCGTCTTGTACACGCTTACCTCGCAAAATTATCTAGCATTGATGATACACTTACTCATTATAGTTGATACATTTATATAGCATCGATCATGTAATATTGCCGCGAACCGTGGAATAATCTTTTTAGATTGTTGTCGTGTTTTCTGTGGGATGATGAGTGTTTTAATATTATGAATATTATGGCCACTTATGACTATCCTGAGGCGTAAAAATACTCGGAAGATCAGTTGGGATAGTTGTGATAGGTTATCGAGAGTGAGTTTTTTATATGAGTATATTGAGAAATGCATCAATTCCGGTCATTAAATTTCATGGCCTTTCTTCTTGGTAGTTGCTTTGATGAGAGTCTTTATCTGTACTGTTAAAGCTATTTGTGTTAAATAGTGAATTTGGATTTATTACTTATAAATAAATATGTACAACACTTTAATTAATATAACTTATTTACCGTGTCAACCTTGAAATTCCCAGAGTATTTTGATGTCTAAAATTCATATTTTTAAATTATGGATCATGACTCTCGTCGGAATCCTATCATCAGCTTTTTTTTTTTTAAAGTGCGGTAGTTTCGCATTATTGTTGAATATGCTATTAAAAACAAATACATAAATTCAAAAAATACAAATAACTTTATATAAAATAAATTAATCTAAAATCAAGTCCGTCCCCAGAATTTAACGTGTTCAATCATAATAATATAATTATATGGCTGCTTGATTTTATTTCGAGAGTTTGATCTACCTTTTCATATCATATTTGTCCATTACTTTCATGTATTTTGTTACCTGATCATCAGCAAATAACAAATATCATGTTATTGTTTTTTGGTCCATTATCTATTTTAGACCAAAACATAAATTCTTTTCCCATAAGCTATTTTCGTCTTCATTCGCAACAATCCATTGTTATCCTAGTACACGTCCAAGTGTTAAAATTTACCATTATATAATACGTTGTTATTATAAGTCCGGAATGTAGCGAAGGACTATATACATTGATGCTTTGTTAACAACGATTCCTGAAACCGTTCTCTAGTTATACCATTTTCTTTGAATTCTTTCTATGATAAATATGGATTTTCTTTATCATCGATCGTATTTTGAATTTTCTTTATCTCGTCGTTTCATCTGTGCAACCGCTGGATCAAGAAGATGATTTAGAATTCTTATCACTCTGAAAATCGATGGAGCTCGTGATGCAGAAAATTGGATTTCTCGATCGATTTATTTTATTACAGGTATGTTAAACCTATCAAAATCATATTCACTAAGGATCCGTAATGCGAGAGCCAAAGTTAGGAATAATTCATCTTTAGCTTCGTGGATGATATATACAACCATTCTATCGTCGTATAAATTAGGTATTTTAAAAAATATTTTTCACAGACTGTCTTCCTAAATTCTTGTAATTTAAATATTAACAACTTACAAAAGTAATAAAGGCTTCATCATATATTTCATATCAGATATTGTCCGAAGACGAAAAAACCTTGGGAAATAAAAAAGCAAAAAAAGATTAAATAAAATTCCTTGACTTTTAGAAGCAGATAAACCCGAATGAAAAACCTAAAAAAATCAAAGAGATGCAATTTTTAAATAAAAAAATTTCGTCCATACCTTAATTAATTATGAATTTATAAAAAATATGATTATTAGGCTTTTTTCTAGACATAATTAATTATTATTTTAACTTATAAAGAAAAGTAAAGTTTTGGGAATTTCAAATATACTTAGCAAAATATTCAGAATCGAAATAATATTAAAGAGCTATATTCAAGAAGAAAATGACTTTTTTTCATTACTATTAATGTTTGGTTGGTGGTAAATATTATTTGAGATTTATTTGGATTATAAAAGTAGATAGACTCGAAACACGTAAAAAATGAGTAATCTAGAAAATGCCATATGATTGAAAAAAAAATTTATTTTTTTGGAAATTGGTACAGCAAGTACTCGAACTCAAGACATGTTTACTGAGGTACTCTTATATTATAAGCAACATGCCCAGAGCTGTTACCACTATACTAATTCAACATTTTATTAATTGCATATTAATTCAAATAATTTAAATTAAATTAAATGAAACTTGTCATGTGATTTTATTTCTAAGTCATGTTAAAAAAAAAATTTTTGACTTCACTTCGACTAGACTAGGAGTCGATCCGCAGACACGCTTCCCACCCCATACCCACGCTGTCACATCATCCCGACAACTAGCCCAATACTGTCGAAGTGATCAACTGAACATGTTAAAAAATAATCATATGGTGAATAATAAAATATTTGATCACGCGTGTTACAGGTAACATATGGGTGGTATGCTATTAAAATTGAGGTATGAGACATAAAAAATCATATGATCTGTACCTCAATTTTAATAGCACATCACCCATATATTTAATAAAATTTTTATAAAAAATTGTAAACAATATATTTGTTCGGTCTAATGAAATTTACTTAATGATTTTCAGATATTTTGTGATTTTTATTACTTTCGGGTGGTTACATCGTTTCATTTCGTAAGTATGCGTATGTATTTCTTTAAATATATTTAATTTTTATTTCTGGTTACAACAATCAAATGTTAAAATGTAAATTATTGCCGATGATTATTTAATTTTTAACTTTTATGATAAAATTTTGAAATAATAAAATATTTGTAGAGCAAAGATATTAGCTTTGTTAATTTATGGATAAAAGGATCGTTAATTTTTATTAGATTCAAGATATTACAAAATACTTTTATTCAGATTTTATTAAAGAACCATTGAGAATAAAGATAAGAAATATATGTAGGCACAAAATAATCAATATTTAATTTATTATTCGATAACTTACAATTCTATCGCATTCAAAAGAATGCCCAAAAATTTTGACTTAGAGAAGGTGGATCTTACTCTAATGCTTCAAGAAATTAGATTTTTGTCATAATTAAATAACAAGTGACAAGTTAAAAGATTATGGTTCTTTCAAAAAATGCCGTTGCCAATTCACATATAAACTAAGAGGTACATTTAATATGTTGAATAGGTGCGATGAGATCGAAAGTATTATGTGAAAAAAATTTACTTCCTGCAACTTCTCAAGTATCGAAAGCTTCAACATCGAAAGTATATTTTTTTTTTACTTCTTTTTCTTTTTGTATTTGTTTTTAAGTACTAAACTTATGCTAGACAAATCAACTTTTAACTTAAAATTTCTTCTTTGTCTTCTTACTGAGATCAAGTAATTAATTGCGTCACAATTTGCTCCTTCAGAATGACTATTAAAAGCGTAGTTACCAACCGTTATGGACTAGCATTCCAACAGTTCCATAAATTTTTATGAACTTTTAAAAGAAGACAGACGCAACATAAACTGAGTATTAGAAGTTTAACTGAATAATTGAAGATTAAAGTCGTTCAAGCCATTTGCCCGTTTGAATTGTAAGATGATATGTTAAGGTTTTCTTCACGAAATATTTCCATGAATCATTCTTATAATGCTTTGATGATGCTTTGAATATGGTACTTTTCATGAAATACATTTGCTACAAAAAGGTATGTTTACTACAGAGCGCACATTTTTAAATTTCATGACACACTAATCAATTATGATTAAATAATATCCTTGTGTATTTTCCTTTTTCTTTTGACATTTATTAAACGGTTGCTTTCATTCACTATTAATCTGATTTATTAAAAAAAGGAAAACTTAATTTCTAATTTCTTTATTTTCTCAGGTTCTGATTAAAAAATGACCTTTTTAGCAATCAACAAACTTGAAATAGATAGTACCAATATATGATAAGTTAATCAATCAGAAAATATTTTGTTCAACTGTTGGGAGTAATCTTATATTTATCTTTTAAATGCGAAACTTTCCAAAATATCATAATTGATTTTCTTTTTCTTTTTCATTATTTTTTTGTTGATTATTCTTTATTTTTTAGATCTTTTTGGGAGGTTTTTCGTTCTGAGCTAATTTGGGTAAGTGACATTATTTTTTCATTTTTTAATGAATCTTCTTTTTTTAGATTGGAATTTCACTTCGGAGATGCTTTCGTGGTTTATTTTTGTTTTAGTTTCGTTTTTTAATGAATCTACTTTTTTAGATTAGGTTTTTACTTCTGGCCGCTTTCGGGTAAGTGAGATTGGATTTTTCGTTATTTTTTTTTTATTATGTATGTTTTTGTTTAGATCTTTGGGCGGTAAGTGGGGATTTCATTTCTTTTTTTTGTTAATATTAATTATTAATTTATTAATTTCTTTTTTTTAGATCTTTTGGCGGGATTTCACTTCAGGTAGAGTGGGGATTTCATTTTTTCTGTTTTTATTAATATAGGTTATTAATTTCTTTATTTTTGTTTTATTTTTAGATTCTTTTAGCGGTTTTTCACTTTGGGCCGCTTTTGGTAAGTAGGATTTTTGATTATTCTTTTTTTTAGATCTCCAGTTTTTCGTTCGTTGCGCAGGTGATTTTTATTTATTTAAATTTTTTTTAGATATCATCAGTTTTTTCAGTTTGGACATACTTCTATATTTGTTTAGTTTATTTTCAGCTGTGTATTGTTATATTTTTGGTTATTTTATTTTTTGCTTATAAAGCAGTAATAAAAAAAATAAGATATTGTTATTTTTATTATTAAAAATTTAAAAAATTATTTAAACTTCAAATTGATGCTAAATTACTTTAACCAGAGCCTAAAGGATAGATATGATTTGACTATTTCTCCATGTAAGTTCTAATTCTATTCAGGTACAATTAATAAGATATAACTGAATTTGTATTTATATTTCTTTTTTAATACAATTTGCAGTAAGATAAAACTGTAATTTTGTATTTAAAGCTTATATTTTTTTTATTTTTCTTTTAACAATTAATAACTATTGAATGAATTGGAATTATAATCCAAATCTTGTTTAGCTTTTACCAAAAGCAAATTCCTTACCAAATTGTATATACTTTTTGACTGACTCCTTGACAAAAAAATGAAAATAATTTATTCTTTTAAAATGAAAATTTAAGTAATCTTTTAGTTTCTACTTTTGCTACTACTTGTACCTCTGCTTCTATCACACCTGCACTTACGTCTGCTTCTACTTTTCTTTCTACTTCTACTTTCACCTCTACCTTTACATCTGCCTTTATCTCTTTTAGATCGTTAAATAAAAAATGATTAAATCTTTATAAATATATAATCAAAAATCAAAAATATTAATAATTCATTTAAATATTAATAATATTATTGAAGGATTATAAAATTGATAAATATCCTATACAAAATTATTTTAAGATAAATAATACAATAAATTATTAATATTATAAATTGATAAATAATTAATATATGTAATCATAAAAAAATTTAATTGTTTTATAAATAATTAATATATGTAATCATAAAAAATTTAATTGTTTGAAAATATTAAAATATAATTAAGACAATTTTTTTTAATTAAAAATTCATGGCATACATATGATTGCTAGCCAAACCTGTAAATATTTAGTAATCAAATCAACGATAATTTTAATTTTTAAGAAGCAAGAAAATATTAAATATCCACATTTTTTTATTTTTGGAAAATGAATAACATTTACAATGATTTGGCATAACTCTTATTCATTCAAACAGGTTTATGATCAAGACCTTATAATCAATCAAATGATGCAAATAAAGACAATTTAAAAATATTATTGATAAACAAAAATGATAAAAAACGAATAGGAATACTTATTTATATATATTTAGCTTAAGAACTTTTGGATGAAATAAATGACTCTGAATATAAGAGAGTCAAATTAATGATGAACTTATATCAGATTCATAGGATTCTTAGAATTCTTAAAACTTATCAGATTTACATGATGTTATGATTTATTGGATTTTTCTAATTTCCTGCATTTTCATTATTTTAATTATTATTGTTATTTTTATTATTTTTATTATTGCTATTATATTTATTATATCTGTTATTATTATTATTATTATTATATTAGTACTTGTAGTTACAAATTTAGTTAGTTTATAGTATAGCAACTAGTTAGCCATAACAAATTAATTTTGTATAAATAAAATAGCTTTTTGCTTAAGTTATAAATTAACTCTATTATAAATTCTTAAATACTTACGAGTTTTAAGTAATAAATAAAGAAATAAACTTTGAAAAATAATTACTTTTTCTTTCTACGTGTCTATTATCTAGGATTTAATCTCAAACCACTACACTAACTTGCTTTTGAGTTCATCACTTAGAATAAAGAAATTCTTTACGTTTCTCCTAAATTCCTAAATCTTTAAGTTCATAAAGTCCAGCAAAGTAATTCTAAGGCATTTCAGATACCTGTAGGATGTGAGATTTCTTAAGGTTATAAAGTCTAATGATAAAAGACTTACTTGCTGCAATAAATTAACTTAACAATAAAAAGAAAATTATTCCTATTGACAATGTATATTTGGTTATAATTACTATGAGATAAGTCCTATTATAATCAACCTTTAAATTTATTATTAGGGTAATCATTTTACATGAGATTAATTTTATAATTTTATTTTAGACACGTTTAAGGAAAATTATAGATTATTGTATAGAAAGAGATTGTATATTTATATGTTCAAAGATCCTTACACTTGGATTCTAAATCTTGAACTTGCACTCTTAATTGATCTTTTACAAGAACAACTTTCTATCCTATTTATACAAAATCACAATTATAAGAAAATTTTATTTAATATTACTTTATAATACATAAATAAAATTAATAATATAATTAATAAAGTTAAAATATAAAATAAATATATAAAATATATATAAATAAATAATAAATATATTAAAGAAATTAAAAATGATAAAGAATTTGAAAAAGTTAACAATACTAAATTTGTAAATCATTATGTATAGCAACTTTAATAAGGTTCAGTATCAACATAATTATTTACTTAAAGTAAATTATCTTTAATATACAATTTTATTATATTGATTATATTAGTAAATATATTATATCCATATCAGAACATATTGAAAATAAACTACTAAAATTATTTCTATATTTAAATGTATCTTTTTATAATTTAGTCATAAATGTTATTCTTCTTATTTTATTAAAATAAGTTCTGATCAATCCTATACTTATAGTTAGATTAGCTTTATCATAAAAGAAGATTATAAATTAAGACTTTATTTATTTAAACAAGCAAATTACATGTGAAATTTTTGGTTTTTCTAATGTTAAACAACTAGAACCATTAAGGTAAGCAAATTTTCTTGCTAAAGTAATTGAATTTGATAATACTATAAAAAAAATGATATTAACATTCTAATTCATAAAAATATTAATAACTAACAAAAATATCTATACTTCAAATTTTTCTTGTATTTCTAAATAGAAGAAATAAAATTTTCAGCAATAATTAATAATATGCATTATTTTTCATAAATTTCACATTTATTTTTATTTAAACTTTATTGAAAACCTGTCCAAAAAGTTTTACTTATACTTTTAAATATAAAAGATTTGAATTTAAACATTATAATTTATATAACATTATAAAGCATTTTTATAAGATAAAAAATCTATTGTCTTTATCTAAGATTCATATTATAATAAAATTTACCCATACTTATACAGTATTTATAAATAAAAAAATAAACGTTGTAACAGTGTAAAATTTTGGCTAAAATCTGATTACAAATCCAATGTCAATTAAATGTCCTTGTTTATCATCT